GGTTTCTAGATGCCGAATGATGTCATAGCACAAGCTAGACAATAATGTCTCCAACAACAAATCTTCAAGACTGTTATTTTTCATACAGTCCCAGTGCAGCAAATCTTTAGAAACAGGAAGTTAACAGATGAGAAAACATTACACCTTTAGAGTAGTTTTCTTAACCTCCATTTTTAAATAAATTATTAGACTGTAACTTTGGACTTGTCAAATCAGAAAGGACACGTGRGTGTTTAAATAAATCAACATTAGAATACATTCTAATGAAGAAAATCTCYTGGCATTTCGCATGCTGGTCATTTGAACAGCTGTGTGTAATGTTAAATGGAACTTGGCCATACCTGAAGGGAATGCCCCTTTTCAAGTCGTTTTTTTAAAATATTTAACAAATGGATTCAGGTCCGCGTAGTACAGTTTTTAATAAGTATTACTCTAAATTCAAACTAAATACTAGTGACAAGCTGTAAGGCTGTACTGAAAAGCAGTTAAAACAAACATAAGCACAGGCAACTTACGCTCTCTGATGATGAAGATGTCAGTCTGTTTATCCGAGTTAAGGTCACCAAARGCCGCCACCGTGCCATAATTTTCGCTCCTGAAAAGCTCAGCTGTGACATCCTGAAGAGCAAACGTGGTATAGTGTCCAAAGATAAGWAACAAAAACGCCAAATGGCTTATTTTTAATATGAACATCCTTCTACAGTTGCAACTCCTCATAACAACATCCATCTACCGTAATACGGCACTCTGCTTTACAGCTCGGAGAGACAGCTCCTTTTTTCCCTAAATAACAAGCTTACTAAATCAAGTTGTGTTTTAAAGTTAGACATATGTCCTGTTTTTTTTTCAATATATTGCAAACAGGTAAAGAAAAGAAGCTTAAAAATGCACAAAAGATGCCACTACGACGRTTTCTTATTTACGTCAGTGTCGTGCACATGAGTAGCAAACGTTGTTAGCTGTGTAAAGCTTCTGAATGGTAGCAATGAACAGAAGGTTGCTTTTCAAAATAAATGCCTTATGCAGTTTACGTGGTGCATTAATAAATAAAATTCATCATTATTCTAATTAAATCGTTAATACTTGCTTCCAATAGTAATGCATTATTTTAAGTTCGTTTAAATATCATTAATATTGAACATTGACTGCTGATTATGAAGCTTTAGGTTTTATTTTGAAGCCCACACACAAATGAAAACCTTTCACCTGCTCGTGAATTTGACAGTGTGTAAATATGGCGAGCCTCGCAGATGTCAGCAGGAAGATCCTGGAACTTAAAGCCAGATCAAAAAGAGGTCTGAGTCATTCTTTCGCATGCTATAAAGTGTGACACGCCCGGTAGTWTCTTCTGCCAGAGCTTGTGTTTGTGTCGCGTTTCCGTCCTGCRCTGGCTTAAACGTGGCTTGTTGTTCTTGTCCACTGCGGTGATGGTTCGAGCATAAAGGTCAGGGGTGCACTTTGCGCTGTACTCAGCCGCTATTTTAGGGTCCTCTCACTTTGACTGTTCACAAACGCTTACGTATTTTGTGTTGTTTTTCATTATGTTCAAATATTATTCAGAAACCCGCTGACAGTGTGAAATGTAGTGGTAAAGTGGATTTGCCTTAGCACTTTACAGTGTGCACRGAGAGTGAACGAAAAAGAAACATAACAGGAAGTCTTATTTACAGAAAACTCACAATAATTACACCGATATTTAAAATAATAAACTGTTTTAGCTCATAGGTAACATTTCATCTAATTCAGATCAAATCGGCTCCCCTCACCTTTCAAATAAAACTAAACCAACTTAAGAAAGCGTTACTATAAGTAGTGCTGTAATTGTTTTTGTTTACTGTTTAAGACTCGGTTGATTCTTCCAAATGTTAAAAATGTCCATGATTCTGAATAAAGTAAAATGCAGTGTGGTTTCTTGCATGCTATAAATGATCATCAGTAATTCATTGAATGTAATCAGTGATGATTCATGCATGTCTGAAATCTAACTCTGTGCTACTAACTCCTTCCTGTGAATTGCTGTAGATTTGTGAATTAGCTGAAAGAGAGAGAGAGAGAGGCAGAGACAGAGAGACGGTTGGCCTTAATTTCACCTTTTGAGAATGGCTGTTTCAGTGGATGCGGTATCCCGGCCCCATCGGGGAGTTCTCAGAATCGGTAAGTAGTGGCAGCAGATCAGAGTCAGCTTCACCAGAAGGGTCCTACAGCCTTCAGCCCCTTGGAGTCCTCCATGATTTGTTTGTTTGAATGTATTGGGTTTTTTTCCCACCTTGCCATCCCACACACACATGTGTCCGAAGCAAACACAGATTACATATTAATTTAGCAAATTAAATTAACTATACTTCTGTTCTGAAACCCATATTTTATTTACAGTGGAACATAAAACAAATCAAATGCTTAAACTTAAGAAATTGTTCTATTTTAGGAAAAACAATAAGACAATTTGGAATATAATGATGGCAACACATCTCAGAAAAGTTATAACAGGGCGTGTTTATCACCATGAATCATCCACTCTACTTTTAACAAGAGTCTGCAAACATCTAGGACCTGAGGAGACCAGCTGCTGGAGGTATTTTGTCTGATGTGAAATTCTAGCTGTTCATCAGGCCTTTGTGAGATTTTATTATTATTTTTTTAATGTTTACTGTTGGTGAGAGGTCTGGATTGAAGGCCGGCCAGTACTTTAACAAAACACATTTAATACAAAGCCCTGTTGTTGCAACAGATGCAGTTTATAGTTTAGCATTGTCTTGTTGAAATATTCAAGGTCTTCCCAAAACAAAAAAAAATAAATAAATAAATAAAAAAATAAAAATAAAAAAACAACCTTGGATGGGAGCATGTGTTTCTCGAAAACTTGTATATATGTTTCCGTATTGATGGTGCCTGTCCACATGTGTGAGCTGCACATGCCACAGACAATAATGTACCCACATAGCATCAGAGAGCAAGGCTTTAGAGCTGAGTGCTGATAACATCGGTTTCTCTTATTTAATACAGAATATATTGTATCTGTGGTTTCCAAAATAATAATAATAATAATAATAATAATAATAATAATAAATGTCCGACTACATAATTTTATTCACTTGAAATGAGTTTTGGCTCAGACCATCTGTTTCTAGATGGTGTTTAAATATGGCTTCTTATTTGGGCCGTAGATCTTTAACCAGCATTTTTGGATGGCAGGATGAACTGTGTTTACAGATAGTTGTTTGAAGACAGGTTGCTGAGCTCATGCAGTTATGATCATAACAGAATCAGACCTGTTTTTGGTCCATTTGCCTCCGAGGGCCTGAAGTTCAGAAGGTCAGCAAAACTACCTTGGTACAATTTCTCAGCTTAAACATGTTATGTTTGCTATGTTCCATTGTGTATATGATATGAACTTATGACATTTGAAAATCATTGCACTTTCTTTTTATTTAAAATTTCCCCAACATCAAAAAAAATTTTTTTCAAAATTGAGGTTGTAGATACAAGTACTGCCACTTCTCATCCAAACTGGTTTATCTTGAACATCTGTATCATTAAGAATGAGGTCATTTTTTTAGGTTTTAAATGTAAATAAATTATAAGACACTCCACAAATCCATTTTTATTTTCTCATTGTGACAAACCTTTTCTTTAATGCTTGTAAAAATATAATGTAAAAGTACATAAAAAACCCAAGACACAACAATAATATATATATATATATATATATTTTCACATGTATTTTATCATCATAACCAGATGTGTATATATAAAGTACATAATTTCAGTAACTTATTTGAAAANGCTCCTGGGTGATGAAACTCAGAATGTCTCTGAATTATCTGGTGAATTAATTATGAATTAATTATCTGATGAACGTGACATGCTCTTGCTCTCTGCAAATAAAGCAAAGCCACTTCCTCGTCCGACATTAAACAGAGCCGGACAGAGGAGGGAGGGGCGGGGAGGCTGTTGCCGTGCAGCGCTTCAAGAGCTGACCCGCGTCTGACTTCAAAGTGCACAAGCGACCAACTTCAGCGTTGGCTGCGATTTTGAAGCTGAAATCGCGTTCGGTGTGAACGCAGCATAAAAGAAATAGTTTGGCAGAGAATATTTGGCAAAATCTTCATATGCACAACCCACATACTCAGCTTTACTGCTCATCCCACAAATGCATGTTCCTTACAAATGTGGCACAGTTTAAAAGGGAAACTACCAGACTTTCCAATGGTATAAGATTTATTGGCAAGAAGCATTGTTACAACTAAGAAATTATCTACTAAACACACATTTCCTTAGCTTTTGTGCTAAGTATGTTTGGCAACCAAGGTGTTCCGCAGCTGATAAAAATAATAGTTGTTAAAAAAATGCTGAAGCATAGTGCTGTGATGACAAAATAAAGAGAGGGGTGAAGGAAATGTGGGTTTATCACAGCTGACCTTGTCACTGCAATATGCAGCAGGAATATTGCAATCACAGGTTTTGCTAATACACGCAGCTCTTTTATGATGGCGTCCTGTTCGTCTGCTACGAGCCCGAAAGATCCCAAAGCGACACAAAAACACATTCACAGCCCTAATAAAGTGGGATTTAGTGGTCTTCATGGGTATTGTTTAAACCCAGTCAAACACTGAAAGCTCACACTTTTTTTCTATCCTCACGTTCAAGATGAAAATTATTCCACTCTGCTCGTTTAAAGTGTTAAAAAAAAGATTGGCTTTGTCCCTTGCAACTTTTTAAGCTGATGGAAATTATGCTAATTGGAGTAAGAGTGTGAATTTTTCTGTACCTGTGGTATTGACCCAAGGTCGAACCTATTAAAATGCAAATCTAACAAAATGAAAATTGTCTGAAAAATGGAGAAAGCCTAACAGAGGGGGGTTCCCAGTGCTCTCCCAGCTCAAAGGGAAATGCCRGCCTTGTCGAGGTTGCACATTACTGCCTGAAATTGTAGCTCTTGGCGTGACTGTTGTTGTTTTTTTTTTTTGCGCTGAGCCCTTTGTGATGCAATGTTTTGCAGTGGGAAAACAAACAAACTGAATTTTGTGTTTGTGTGCCTGTTTGCATCCTCTGCTCCTCTTTTTCTTTTATATTTAAAAAGAAGGTTAAATATTTACGAAGTCTATTTGCTAAGATGTATATGCTGATCAGGAAACAGGACTTATCTATAAAACATTCTCAAAGACATGTTATTGAGACATCAGGTTTAAAGCTAACACGAGTCAGTGTTTGTGTGTAATAAAGATGTTGGTCCTCAGGCTCCATCTATGAACCTATGAAGTTGTCCAATCTCCAGAGGGATGATGAACCCCTGTGGGAGCAACTGGACCGTTACTATAATGCTGGTAAGTGTTCGCTTTTCATTGGTAACAGCATTTCAAGCCAGATTGTTTCTCACCCAACAGTCTTCCATGCCAGAGTTTTGGACTCAAATCATTTTATGTTGAGAAATAAAATGAGCTGTAGCCATTTTGGTTACACTTTAAAAATCACATTACGTAAGATCACAAGCTGTCACGCTCAGTGTCTGTGTTGTGAATGACTCRCAGCTACTACCACATTCAATATTAGCTTAGTATCTGCAAAATGGACAGAGTTGTAGTCATTTTTGTATTGACTGATGTTGATTAGTTGTGGAGGTCATCTTGAGTGGATCAGGTTAGGGTTAATCTTAATCTTTCCTGTTTTAAAAATAAAATCAATCAATCAACTGACTCTAAAAGTAAATCAGTTATAAATATGTGATGTATGGTTATATAAAAACTGTTTTGTGGTTCACAAATTATTAGCATGTAAACAGAATATAATTGTTAATGTCAAAATATTATATTGAAAGTAGATAAGAATCAGTCACAGCTGCAATAACACTCATTTTTAGATCCGTATATGTACACTCTATGAAGGAGAATTACCAAGATATCTTTGGAAAACATGTTCTTGAAGGCAGCGACTGTAGACTTCCTAATAAGAGTATCAATGCATTTATTATGTCCTGATTGCACTAAATAGGAAACAGAAAAGATTCCATACTTTTCCATAAACTGTTTATGTGAATGAGTACAGATTGCACAAAATAAAACGATTGATTGTTGTTTCATAAAACTGAAGAAAAGGCTAGAAGTTCCTAAGAAGTCAGGAAGGGCAAACTTGGTGATAGCTGGTGGAGCTCTGCACAGGTGATAATTCTTAGATATGTAATCAGTAAAGGAGGCTGCAGCTTCCCTGCAGGAGAGATAAATACACATTAACACTGATTGCTGAATTACCAACAGCTGTGAGTGCAGCACTGTGACAGTGGCTGCACCTCCCACACACACAAACACAGGCACACGTGTGCGTGCACACACACACACACACACACACACACACACACATACAGAACCCTATCTTACTGCCATACAGCTACAGGATAGTTCTTAATTTCTGTGCTTGCTTCGATTGCCCCTTTGGATTTAGGCCAATTCATTTGGCTGCAAGAAATAAATTGTGTGTGTATACACACACACACACACATATACAGTATATATATATATATATATATATATATATATTTTCACATGTATTTTATCATCATAACCAGATGTGTATATATAAAGTACATAATTTCAGTAACTTATTTGAAAACTGTATTATAAAATCAGATTTACTGATATAACAAAAATAAGTCTCATATAAAAAACCACCACATGGTAACGTTTCCTTCCACTATAAACTCTCAGTATCAATATCATATAGGGTTACACAATAAAACACATCAGTATCAAAATGAACTGTAGTAAATCTCAGGTATAAACTACACGTTAGTAATATAAACTTATCCCAAAAAGTAAGCAAATGCGTGTTTGGTAGATTATTTTGTTGTTACAATGCTTCTTGACAATAAATCTTATAGCAGGCACCTGGTTGGCAGCACCTGGAGGTACCAGCAGCTCAAAACAAGAGTCWATAGCAACAGTAATGGTGCGTTCACACCAATCGCGATTTCAGCATCAGGAGCAMCAGGTTTACTTGCAAAGTCTATGGTGGACGCGCTTCAAGCAGCGTCGGGAAGTGCTGCGGCGTCTCAAGCGTGATTAGAGCAGCGCGATTTGAACGATTTGAAC